ACTGTGCCCAGCAAGTCTTCTCAGGCTCTGCAGAATGTCCCTCTGAGGATCCACCCTCCATTCTAACACAGCATGTGTCATTAAATGTGATCTGTAGGGCTGGGGTGTAGCTCCCTGGTGGAGTGTGTGCTTAGCATGCATAAGACCCTGGCTTTGCTCCCAACAGGCATACAAACGTAATTTGTATGTTACTATATAGATTTAGAATCGAGGCAGCAGGTGGCTGGCTGACCTAATGTTGACCTTTTTGTATGTTTGGGTTTTATTTTTGCTGTACCCTCTTATGTTTCCTATGTCGCACACTTTGTTGTTTCTCTCCTTTGTTGCAGCTCTAGGGATTGAACCCAGGCCTATCTGCATGCTAGGCCCACAGTGGCTGCTGCGAAGGTACACTCCCAGTCTTTTTTACATTTGATTTTGAGACAGAGTCTCATTAAGTGGGCCAGCCAGCTGGAACTTGCAATTCTTCTCCCTCCGTCTCCTAAGTAGCTAGAATGACCCACAGGTGCCAGGCGCCTGCTTACATTTTAAAATAAGTTTTGTTTCACATGCTTTTAGGTTCCAGAAGAGTAGTAAAGGTGGTGCAGAAAGTTCTGGAGACACTTCCCCCGTCCCCCGTGTTGGCCTGTAGTGCTGGCCAGCATGGCGCAGCCCCTCACAGCCAGTGAGCCAGCGTCAACAGTGGTCATCCAGTGAAGCTGCACTTTCCGTTCCTGGTCTCCACCTCTGACCCTCATCCTCCGTGGTACTGGGTCATGACAGCCCGAGCTCCTAGGGCTCCGGCAGTTTCCCGGGTGTTCTGATGTCCCTGACTAGAGGAACACTGGTCCCGTACTTTTGGGATCTCCTTGGTGTTTTCAGAGGTCCGACTGGGCTGACTCACGTAGGTGTGTCTTAGGCCCAGGAAAAGCTTATGATTCCTAGGCTCTGGGCAGTGGTGTGATGGGTAGAGTGGCCTGTGTAGGGGCAAGGAGGAGGGGACGACTAGGAAGTGAGGTTGCCAAATTATGTTGTTACCTAATGCACCAATTAAAAAAAAAGAAAGAAAGAAACAGACTGCACAGATCGACCCCAATTTGGAGGAAGGTGCAGTCACTGCTGTAGGTGGTGCACGATGTGCTGAGTCCTGGCCTCTGTCTGCATGTGTGTGGACATTCACAGCATGCGGTTGGTCCTTTGCAGGTGGACTCCAGTTGCCTGGCGTTCTAATGTGCAGTGGGCGGCCACCCGCAGGACACGGCAAGGAGGGGCTCGCAGCTCTGCACCCCCCTCCCTTCTTTGTGGGCTTTGCAGTTTGACATTTGATCTATGTCATCAAAATGGACAGCATTTCATGATCACATAATCTTTTAGGTACATTTTTTTTAAAACATTTATTTTTTTAAATTTTAAGTGGACACAATATCTTCATTTTAGTTTTCTGTGGTGCTGAGGATCGAACCCAGGGCCTCACGCATGCTAGGCGAGCGCTCTGCCCCTGAGCCGCAGCCCCAGCCCTTTTAGGTACATTTAATTGGCACAATTGTCCAGGTCACGAGTTCCAGAAAGCAAATGCGGAGTCGAGAGCGAGGTTCCTTCCAGAAGCCGTGTTCGGGGGCTCTCCCCAGGCGCGCGCTCCCCTGGACCGAACCCTCCAGCAGGCCTGGGGGGCCCTGGGGACAGAACACGAGGAGGCAGCGCAGCCCCGCTCTCTGGGGAGGAGGTCTTGCGAGGCTTCTGACTGGCCTTCAGGTGTCGCGCCCCCTGGGCCTGAGGCAGGTCACTGTGTTCCAGTGAAAGGGCCACTTGAGCTCGGTGGCCGGAAGTCCTTAGCTCTTTCACTGTTAATTAGGTGAGTGTGGGCATTTTAGAATTCTGCTTTGTGGCCTGGAGACCAGTGTCCCGCCCCGCAGCTGCGCCTTCCCCATTTTAGCCTGTGGATGAGTGAGCCCCGCAGGTGACCCGGTTGGTGTTGCCAGCACTGTTGGGGGCCGGGCTGCAGCTCTAGGGTGGGCACTTGCCTGCTGTGTGCAGGGCCCTGAGTCCCATCCCCACCAGAACCGAAAGGGAGGCCGTGTCCGTCGGGCCCTCTTCTGCGCCTGCCTTAGTCACGTTTTCTGAGAGAACTTTTTTCCTTTGAGGAAACATGAAGAGTGCAGAGCGCAGCGTCCCTCCCAGGGCCAGGTGTGGGCGCTGGTTCCCATGGTCTTCTTGCTGGTGCTGCCTCTAGTGGGCCCCAGTGGAGCAGCCTGGCGTGGTTGGCGGGCTTAAGCCAGCGGAGCCTGTCCCCTGTGGGAGCAGATGCAGGGGGCAAGAAGAGCAGAGGCTGGGGTGGGTCCAGTGAGGGGCTGGTGGTGGAGGCGGCTTCTTGGAGAGGGAAGTGGTGGCCTTCGGGTGATGGGGCTAGGGGAAAGGGACTTGGCTGACCCTTAGGGGTTTTGTGGGGTTTTTTGTTTAGTTTTGTTTGGTGCTGAGGGTTGAACCCAGGGCTGCTTTACCGCTGAGCCACATCCCCAGTCCTTCTTGTTTTTAATTTTGAGACACGGTCTTGCTGGCCTCAAACTTGCAATCCTCCTACCTCAGCCTCCTAAGTCACTGGGATAACAGGTGTGACCACTGCGCCCCATAGCTGTTAGTTCCTTGCCTGCACTAACCGAGTGGGGTGATGGTGGCAGCACTTCCTAGGAGGGGAGAGGATCAGGCGGGCAGTGGGTAGGTAGCCAGATTAGAGCTTTGGTTTTGTTGGTTTGGGATCCCTAGGGACACAGCTGGCTTCAATGGGTGTAACATGAATGACTTCCGGATCTTAAGATACCTTTCGGGTTTTGTCGGGAGCAGTCTACACCACGTGTTCGGAGGTGTGGGGAACATGCCGCAGGTGGGCGCTAGGGCGTGACTCGGTGGTGAGAGCTTGCCTGGCACGCGGGATGCCCTGGGTTCCATCCAGGGAGAAGGAGCCTCTGTGGTTCTTTTCCCCCGAGGACCACTAGGTGTCGCTGTCCACAAGAGCAGCGTTTGCACAGCGAGACTGCTGAGAGGGGTCACAGTGGGAGGCACACCTTCAGTATGGTCTTCAGACAAGGACACCAGTGTGGCTTAGAGTAGGACAGAGAGTTAGGGACTGGGTGACTCCTGAGCTGGGTCTTGGGGGTGATGGGCGAGGCCAGCAGTCTTGATGCCCTTGGTGGCCGGTAGGCACTGGGGAAGGGCCCTGGTGTGGACATTGGACTTCCCTGTGCTGCTCAGCAAAGACGTAGTTGGCATTTCTAAAAGGACCTGTGACCTCCTCTGCCTGACCCGCTGCATGTCTGTGGTCCCTCGGGTCACTGTGCCTGCCAAGGGAACAAATACGGAGGGAGGACGACGCAGGCCAGTGGAGACCCTGCGTAGGCAGAGCCCAGCCCCACGGTGACGGAAGGGGAGCGCCTGGCCTGAGCCCAGCCTGTGCTTCATCTGAAGTTCCCTTGAGCCGTGGCCAGTGTCACACTTTGCACATGGTGGTGTGCATTGGCTGATGGGCCTGGGGTGAGGGGACAGTTAGCGCAGCTTCTGGAAGGAAGAGTGCCCCTCACATGCCATTCCCCAAGAGCAGGGCAGGTGTGCCAGGGACGGGCGCAGCACAGGCCCCCGGGTAGGGCTTGGCCACACTGGCTGGAAACGTCCTTGATCCCCCCTAAATGTCCTTTACTCTCCCGCTCAGGGAGGAGTTGCTGCCGACTTTCCCCGGCACTTGAGTTCCTCATCAGGAGTAAATGATAAATGGTCTTCAGTGAGTTCTGTCTGTCTGAGTTCCTTGTCTGTAACTGCCTGACATCTCTGTGCCCTTTCTTTCCAGACAATTTATGAAAACCGAATATACAGCCTTAAAATAGAATGTGGACCTAAATACCCAGAAGCACCCCCCTTTGTAAGATTTGTAACAAAAATTAATATGAATGGAGTTAATAGTTCTAATGGAGTGGTAAGTTGCGCTTTCTGTCCCCACTTGTCCCTCTGGGCTGAGAATTGCTTTGTACTTAACACCAGGGGCCTTTGGAGGTTGTGTCCGAGTGCCTGTGTCCCAGCCGTGTCCACCTGCCCCTCGTGTCACACTCACCCTGGCCAGCACTGCTGCGCACTCGAGATGAGAGTTCACTCGGTCCCTGCGCACATGAGGAGATAAGGCGGGAGACCAGAGGCCTTGCCCACAGCGCCACCTCCTGGGCCTTAAGCCTGGGATGTGATATTTTTATCTTTTAATAACCTTGCTTTTTTAACTGATTTTTAGATTTGCACCCATAAATCTGAAATCCAAAATGCTCCAAGACCTTTTTTGTGCTGGGGATGGAACCCAGGGCCTGGCGCATGGTCCCCTGCCACCGCCGCCCGTCAGCCTTTCCTGTATGTGCTGCTGGCAAAGGCGTGTCCCGGTTCTTGCCCACGTTAAGATCTGCCAAATCTGGGTCCTTGGTGGACTCAGAGGACTTGAAAGAGTCAGAGGCGCCTCATGCTTTGGGTGCAACGTTTATGTGTCTGGGCCACCTGGCGTCTGGGGAGCACTGTGCCGGGTGGAGAGACCTGGCTCTGGGGGGGCTCTGGCCACTGCAGCGCGGGTGCAGGCCACCATGCCTTTGCTGTTCATGCTGCCTGGCATCATCTTTGTCATCTCCTGCCCGGGCATAGCATCCAGGGCCCAGGCATGGCCACAGCTGGCCCACAGCAGGTCATTCTTGTCCAGCCAAGTTGGGCAGGGTGTAGTCCTGCCAAGGGCCAGTGTTACCCTTGCCTTCTCCCAAATTGGGACACAAAGGAAAAACAGTGGCTGGAGGAGGGGACCCTGCACAGGGGTATCCTGCATGTCAGGTATGGTTTTGTGATCAGCACGTTCAGCTTAAGAATTGCGTTCTCCCCAGCTCTTGCTGTGGCTTAGCCCAGGCTGTTGGAGACCCTGAGAGTAATTTGGTTTTGTTTGCCTTTTGTAGGTGGACCCAAGAGCCATATCAGTGCTAGCAAAGTGGCAGAACTCATATAGCATCAAAGTTGTTCTGCAAGAGCTGCGGCGCTTAATGATGTCTAAAGAAAATATGAAACTCCCCCAGCCTCCGGAAGGACAGTGTTACAGCAATTAATCAAAGCAACGCCACCAGCCCTCCCCCATTCGATTTAAGCAGTCTTCATTCTCCACCGTAGTAAATTTTCTAGATGCGTCTTGTAGACCTCAAAGTACTGGAAAGGAAGCTCCCATTCGAAGGCAATTTATCTTAAGATACTGTAAATGATACTAATTTTTTGTCCATTTGAAATATATAAGTTGTGCTATAACAAATCATCCTGTCAAGTGTAACCACTGTCCGTGTAGTTGAACTTCTGAGATCAAGAGAGTCTATTTAAATTGATTCCCATCCTGACCGGTGGGGCACATCTAACTCAACTGTGAAAAGACACGTCACACAATCACCTTGCTGCTGATGATTCGGCCTGGGGGCCCTGCCTTCTCCCCCCTGCCCTGCCAGCCCTGGGACAGCCCTCCAGCAGAGGCTTGCTAGAGTAGAGCAAAGATTTCAGGTCACACCCTGGGGACTGCTGCTGGGTGTGGGGTGCTTTGCCTGCACCCTGGTTACTTTCTTAAGTCTTAAATGACGCCCTTTCCAAGCCATCGTCCTGCCCCACTCTCCTCCACTCCTGTCCTTGGCCGAAGCATAGATTGTAACCCTCCGCCCCCTTTGAAATTGGCCTTCGCGAAGAATTCAGGGCTTTCCCCCTCCCCCACCTTGATCGAGGGGTGCTGCTTTTTTCCCTCCTCCTCAACTCCCTTGTCCACCTTCACCACCCGGCACTCTCCACCGCCCCCCTGGCTTGGCCAGAAGCCATCAGGTCAGGTTGGAAATCTCTGACCTCCTCCTCCACATTTGGAACCACGTTTGACCACTTTCCACTGGCCCAGGAAATGAGCTTTGGGTCCTGGGTCCTGCCACTCTGCTGTCACCCTCAGCCGACGCATCTTTGGCCCAGGTCTTTGTAAGGTGGACAGGGCAGTCCCCAGGGTGACGTAGCCTGCTGGTCCCTCCGTTTAGACCTGCAGGAGGCCTCCTGGAGAAGCCTGTGAGCACACAGGGCCTCTGGACTGTTCCCTTTCCTGTAATGACGTGGCTCTCAGACGTGCAGAAGGGTGAACAGGGCTCCCTGTGGGGCGCGCCTGCTATCCCCGCAGGCCCAGGGTGGAATCGGACAACTGGAACTAGAGGAACCTGGACCCAGCGCAGATACTGGTTTTGGTGCCGCTGCCTCCCAGGTGCTCAGCAGGGACTGAGGAGGAGCTGGTGTGCACAGCAGCTCCCAGCGTTGGCGGAGCCTGGCCTCCCGGCACGTTGCTGCACCTCCCACTTTTCCTGTTCAGGACCACTGTGCTGAGACCCGATGCAAACAAATAAAGGCAATTCATGGTGTTCTGAAGGGTTTATTTTTTTTTTCTTACTATTTTGTGTAAAACCACCTTTTGAAGCAGCAACTATCAAGTCTGAAAAGCAATGGATGTTCCCATTAATCTATTTCTGGGGGAAATCTTAGTTCTAAGGATTTAACATCCTGTAAGTAAAGTTTAACCTAACAGTATTCCATAAGCAGCCTTTTTCTTGTCAGACCATTGCCTGATTTTAATATAATAAAAAGTGTGCATTAATATTTCACAGGCTGTGCTGTTCTTCCTCCTGGCATATTAATTTGGCAGGTATTAGTGCTTCAGACGCTTTGGGACTCGTTGGTCCTTTGTAGAAAAAATACTTAGGATTTTTGGGCCAACAGGCAAAAGTCAGGATTCTTACGTAAGTGCTTAATTATATATGAGAAAGCAAATTTCCACAGAGTACAATATTTTTGTAATGTTACTATCCTACTAACACCATAGTTTCTTCTAGGGATCTAGGCATCGCACTTGATTGAGTTCAAAGTTCATGTTCTCAATAATCAAGTCAATTGCAAATGCTTGCCTATAAAAATTGTTTTTCATTCAAGAACTCAAAACAGGCAGTGGGCTGGATTCGGCCCCTGGCTCCTACTTTGCCAGCCCCTGGCCCAGAAGATAGTAGTTAAAAAGCACGTTCTTCACAGGTACAGGGTGCGGTGCTCGTGCCTCTAATACCAGCAACTCGGGAGGCTGAGGCAGGAGGGTCCCCAGCTCAAGGCCAGCCTGGGCAACTCATCAAGACCCTGCCTCAAAAATAGAATGGGGACGGAGCCCAGTGGTGGAGCACTTGCCTGGCATACTCAAGACTTGGGTTCCATCCCCAGCACCCCCCAAAAAAGAGGAGGAGGAACATAAGCAACCTCTGGTTGGCCAATAGCAAGTCATCAGTAGGTCCCCGAAGCCGAGATGGGGCGGGCCCTGGAGCTGGCCCTGTCTGCTGTCCTGTCTGCCCTCCTCAGCTCTCGCCCTTCCCCTCAGGAGGCCCCAGGGGCGCCTTCCAGGACCTGTCCCTGCTCTGCTGCCTCATCACGTCCAGGAAGGACCTCGAGGCCTTGGCACTGGGGTTTCGTGCCCTCACTCAGCACAGGAAGTCCCTGGGAGAGGGGCCTTTCCTGCAGCTTCCTTCTCCCCCAGACACCAGCCGCCTGGGAGGGCCCACCATGGCTCTGGGCTGCCCGGCTCCAGAGGAGCTCTGCTTCCTCCTGAAGACCTCCTGCGGCCCCCGCTGTGCACGCAGCCTGCAGAGGCCCGGGGGGACAAGGCCCTGTGCACAGGGTGTGCAGTGTTGCTCAGGCCAGGGACAGTCACAGAAACTGGAGACGAGACAAATTCTATGTGAGATATCCAACACTTAGTTGTCACTCAGCTTTGTGCCCTGTGTAGGACTGTGACCACACTGAGGTCCTTCAGCTGCCCCTTGAACTCCCTAGATGGTCCATGTGGTGCCCTTTGACCTCCAGCAGGTCTGGGTTCCGAGGCCAGGCAGGAGCGCCTGTGGCCGGCTCTGGAGGGGAGCAAGCTCACCACTGGAAGGACACAAGATCTCCATCAGCCCGCGTCCCTAGCGAGGCAGCCCCGCCCACTGTTGGTGAGAAACCATTCGCTGTGATCCCTAAGGGTCAAGAAGCCAAGAGTCTGTTCTGAGGTCTCAGAAAGCAGGGGGTGTCTGCCAGTTGTCATAGGAAGTGAGGTGGCAGCCACACAGCCGGGAAGAACAGGATCACGCGAAACCAGGTGAGCCAGGCCAGTGGCACAGGCCTGAGATCCCAGGAACCCTGGAGGCTGAGATGGGAGAACGGCAAGTTCAAGGCCTCAGCAGCAGCTTAGTGAGACCCTGTCACAATAACTAAAAAGGGGGCTGGGGCTGGGGCTCAGCAGTAGCGCACTTGCCTGGCGTGCGTGAGGCCCTGGGTTCGATTCTCAGCACCACATATAAATAATTTTTTAAAAAATAAAGGTCTATTGTGGCTGGGGATGTGGCTCAAGCGGTAACACGCTCGCCTGCCATGTGCGGAGCACTACATAAAAATAAAATAAAGATGTTGTGTCCACCTAAAACTGAAAAATAAATATTAAAAAAAACAAAGGTCTATCAATAACTAAAAAAATATTATAAAAGGCCAGGTGCAATTGCAATCCCAGCAGCTCAGGAGGCTGAGGCAGGAGGATCACAAGTTCAAAGCCAGCCTCAGCAATTTAGCAAGGCCCTAAGCAACTCAGTGAGATCCTGTCTCTAATAAAATACAAAACAGGGCTGGGGATGGGGCTCAGTGAATGAGTGCCCGAGTTCTATCCCTGGTACCCCAAAAATAAAATAAAAAGGGCTGGGGATGTGGCTCCAGGGTAAAGTGCCCTTGGGTTCCATCCCCAGTACCGGAAACAAAACCCCAGTTAATAAAGCACTCGCCCCTCCCCTTAGCTGGAGGCCACATTGGTATTGTCCTGGAGGCTCCAGGGAGCTGGGCAGAGCTGCCCAGGGCAGGGAGGGCAGAGCCGTGGTCACCCTGTGCCCCCAGCCTGCGCCCGGCCACTCCCCCTCTCCCCCACAATTTCTTTTTTACTCACTGGGCTGTGGCTTCACTTTGCTTCTGCCCTGCAAGTGTCTCCCTGGGTCCCACAGAGCAGCTCGGGGACTCTGCCCCGTGGTTTTCCAGGGCCACAGTGCATACAGGGCCAGGCCTTCCGTGGAGCACGGAGGGCGGCATCTGCCTGGCTGCTGGCGGGGCCCCTGCGTGTGCCTGGGAGCAGCTTCTAGCTGGGACGTGGCATTTTTTTTTTTAAGAGAGAGAATTTTTTATTTATTTTTTAGTTCTCGGTGGACACAACATCTTTGTATGTGGTGCTGAGGATCGAACCCGGGCCCCACACATGCCAGGCGAGCGCACTACCGCTTGAGCCACATCCCCAGCCCCTGGGACGTGGCATTTTGAACTCTGACATATTCAAGTGGCCTGCAAAGTTGTGGGCTCCCTCCCACCAGGTGCAGGCTGCATCCCTGTCCCTAGTGCCCGCCTCTCCTGGGGCTGGACAGGGTGCTCCCTGGGTCCTGTGCCACTCCTCAGGGGTCGGTCTGCCAGCACCCTCTGGCTCTGTTTGGAGTCTGAAGTGGCTCCTTGGCTTGACAGGACTGGCGGTCGGTGGCCACCCTCGGGCCACGCTGGGCTTGCAGGGGCTTGCAGGCCTGCGCATCAGTCCGCGTGCGCCTGGGGAGCTCTGGCCTGGGCCCCGCCCTTGGAAGCCTGGAAAGTGGCCTCTGCCCGAGTCCCGGGATGAGGAGGCTGTGAGCACCTGGCCGGCAGGTGGCGGCCCCACACCCACCAGCCTTCCAGGGCTGGGGCGGGCCTGTCCCACGCGCCTGGAGCCACAGTGGATCTCTAAGCTGACACCAGAAGCAGCGCCTCCAGTGCCCCCGCCCTGCCACCCTAGCCTGGGCCACTGTCACCTCCCTGGGTGCAGCTCAGCCTGATTGCTTGGTCCTGCCTTACTCCCTGCTGGGCACAGGTCAGGGTGTGTGACCAAAGGAACGAACCGCCCAGCCCTGCCCTCCTCTCCTGTCAGGCCATTGCCAGTGACAAGGGAAGGATCCCACGGTCCTGCCTGTGAAGCATCCTGCGGGGCTGCTGGGGGAGCTGGGTGGAGGGACAAACAGAAAGACTGGCTGAAAAGTGTCGCTGCAGGAATTCTGGGAATCAGCTCAGAATCTGTTCTGGCCAGCAGCCCTCAGGCCTGTTGCAGGCCAGACGTGGCAGGACCCCGTCCTGTCCCGAGGGGCGAAGGTGGAAGCCCTGCTCAGGAGGGCCCCCCTCAGACTCCTTGGCACCAGCAGGATCTGGGAAGGTGGGGGCCAAGAGGCGGAGGAGCGGGCCACCTGCCTTCAGCCCTGGAGGACACCTCTCCTCCACTGGGGCTTCCAGGGCGGTTCAAAGAGCCGCGGCAGGGCTCCCGGGAACAGAGGCATGCCCAAGGACAGCCACCAACGCTACAGTGACGCCACCAACCCCACCTCAGGCAGGTCACCAGTAGGCGACTATCAGTCCTGGGTGGTGGCAAGGGGGGTCCCTTCCCCAACGCACTTGGAGTCAATTGTCCAGAATCAAAAGCCAGTGAGTGCTCAGGTGTGGCCAAAGCTCGCCGTGAGGTGGGAGTGGCCGAGCTGGGGACAGGCAGCCTTATCGCCGTCCCTATCACC